GTGCCGGTGGCTGTAATGGGCTGAGGGCAGCACACTTTTTGCCCAGTCTCCACTGTTGATAGGGAACTTGGAGTGTGGTTGTACTCCAGTTCTGAGCACAGGGATGTTGTGGTAGTTTTGGATGCACAGGGCATCATCTTTCTCTGAAGCTATGAGACTGAAATCCGAAGGGTGGGATCTTGCTCTGTTTGCAACTTGCAAATGTGATGACAAGGACTTCCAAGGCACATTTTGTTGGACTTGTCTTGAAAACAGTCTTGCATGTGGAACCCGTGTGCATCAAAACCAGTAAGTCTGGATAATGCACTTTGGAGTTTTTAAGATCCGTATCAGGGAAATAGAAATTGCCGAAATGATTGACATAAATACTCATTCTCATGGACTTTTCATTACATGATAGATACTTGAGAGCTATCAAAGGTGAGCTGAGCAGGAGGACCCCATCATGCTGGACCTGCTTATTCATCCCCTTTCGTCCTACTGGTTGGGGAAAATAGCTCTGCTTAGAGATTTAAAACTTCTAGTGTATTTGAACGCTTTGGGGATCCAAGAGGCTGTTACATAAAGTATTAGGTCTGGTTTTTGTGTTTGTGGCAGGGAGGGAATGTCATGCACAACAAAACCATTTTGATTCAGGCTATTTAACTCAATTTAGTTTATTGCCAATGAAGATGAAGACAAACAATTAAATAAACACAGAAAACACACCTCATCTTCCCTTTGGACACCTCTCCAACTCCTTCCTGGTCTCCCATCCTCTCACCATAGGTGGCACTCAGTGCCTGGGGTGACTCCTTTTATTTTTTTTTTTTACGCAATTTCTCCATGGGCCATAGTCCCCTCAGCATTATACCTGCTCCCGTGTCTGCTGTCTGCTCCTTCTTGGCCAGCTCTTTGCTCCAGCCCCTGCTCAGGTGTCATCTCCTGTGTCTTTTTTTCTCCAGCCCGAGTCCTGGTCTGTTCTTGTGTCTGCACAGGGCAGTCCCTGACCTCGTACCACATGCTGCAGCACCCTCCCTACCAAAACCGTGTCAATTTAGCCCAGTGTGCAGGGGGAGGGGAGCGGGGTGTGTAATTTTTAAAATTTCTTTTAGCATCATTAACACACCATAAGGGAAGGCAAGTAGGATATCAACTAATGATGTAGAAGTTCATACCTTCTTTTCAGTAGCCTTATTGTTTTTACAGTAACTAAGACAACAGAGTCCCAGCCTTCAGAAGTTGTAGATATTATGGCAATGAAAATAACTTTGTAGTCATGGTAAACAGCAGCGTGGGGAAAGAAATAAGAGGAAGAAGTCTTCAGCACTAGTGTTGGCACAATCTGGTAATAACAGACACGTCAAAGAATAGATACTTTTTTTAAAAAAAGCAAATATTAATTATGGATTAGCAAGGAAAGTTCTTTCTAACCTTCTGTACTAACTTAAGCTTCTTTTGTGAAAGCTTTAATTGGTCTGACATACGGAAAAATGAAACTTTACGTTCTTGTATTCAGTAGTCTGCATTTTTTTGAAAGGGATGTGTTAAGATGTCATAAGAGTGGCTGAAAACACTGTTCATTCAGCTGTTAGGACACAGGCTTTTCTCCTAAACCTAGCTTAGGACTGATCACATATCAATGAATGGATTTCTGTATCAATGAAAAAAAACTGGTGCAACTCTACCTGCTTAAGTGGTACTTCTCATGCTTCTTTAGTCCTCACATTGCCACGCAAATCCAGGAGGACTTTGCACTTATTTTAGTCTGTGTTTGACCATTGTAATGTTGCAGTCTAAGCCAACTGAAAACAGCAGCATATTAGCCTTAATGTGTCTGCCATGCCTGAGCGGACATTTCTAATAGTCAAACTTTGTTACTATGGCATTCTTGTTAGTTTCTTTTCTTTTTGTTCAGCATCAGGATATTTCTGGAAGAATGAATGACTTCTCTTTGTAATTAGTGATGAGTTCTTGTCTTAGTTCCTGTTAGTTTCTTTAATGAATACTAACTACTTTCTGGTAATGAAAGAATGACGAGAAAGCTGAAAGAGGAAGAGAAGAGAGGGAAGAGTAAGGAACTGATAAGGTTTTTTTACAGGATTGCTTTTTCTTATTTAAAGCCGTTCTCTTCTTCCTATCTCAACTCTATATAGGCAAAAGTATGTTTTTTAATTTATGTATGTAAAAATATATATTATTTATTATAAAATATAATTTTTATGTATATTAATTGTCTGAGCACTTAGAAAGGAAAAAAGGAAACTATTCTCCTATTTAACTAATATTAATACTCCTATAACTGATATTACTTCAACTGAATTAATTGAAACGTCCAGACTGGGAGGGCATCATGTCCTGTGTGGATAATGGAAGAACAAAGAATTTAAGTAAAGATTGATCAGCTGAAGTTACAAATCTTGTATATGTTTTATCTATTACCTTTTGTTTGTTTCTGCATGTTTTAGCAAATCTAAAATTTAAGTAGCTCTATAGTATGTTGCTACAGAAAAGTACAGATGACCTAATTGTACAGCAGCTTCGAAACACTTCAGTGGCGCATCAGTGACTGATTCCATAACACATTTAGTCATGTAGACATGAAGTGCATAACTTCCGTTTATTTGAAGAAATAATCATTATAAATGTTGATCATCAAGTGTCAAAACGTTGGTCTAATTCTAGAGGCATCTGAAGTTTAGCATCTTTGTCAGAAAAAAATCCTGATTACCCCAGTAATCTGGCAAAATCATGATTTATCCAACTAGTTTAACGAAGGGAGCTATGCTTTTTTCCACAGTGTAGACACCTTGTCATTCAGCAAAGCTGTAGTTTCAGTTAAAATGTGGAAAGAAAATACTATAACTCTAGTTTTATCAGAAGCGATTAAAAAAGTGTAAGTAAGCTTCATTTATGCTCTTCCATACCTAACTGTAATGTCTATGCCAGACCCACACACGTGCCCTGCAAAGTGCTCTGGTTTGTCTTTGAGCAGCACTGCTGGGCAATCGGCAGGAATACGCAGGCCACCTCGTCAAACAAATTGAGGATATTTAGCTAGGGCTATGGAAGATTTTTGTGCTGATAGTGCAGGAGAGCAGCAACTGAGGGCTGAACAACCGGGCTTTTACTGATGGTCCCTCTTGCTTTAGTTGTATAGTTTTTGCCTACCTTTTACATATTAAAATTCTAACCTGTGGTATGTTGAACGTCCCAGTTGTGTGATGTACTGTACTGTGACAGAATTGAGTGTCAGTGCTGGTCAAATGTGTATTCATTAACCACACATCTACAGTTTGGATTCAGCTCTTCTTTAGTATTTTTAGTTAATGTGGTCAGAGCCTGAATTTTCTCCTTTCAGTGTCAGTCTTCATCCAAGTAATTGTTAGGCTTCTAAGATTTTTGTTTTGATGGGCTCTTTAACCTTCCAGAGTTAAAGAACTGGTTGCATTATGGTAATATGCATCACATTACATTTGAATATGCTTAATTGGGAGGTAAATGCAAAATGTATCTAATATTGAAGACCAGAACTAAAGTTTAAGTATGATTGAAGAAGTAATTGTAGATATTCGAAAGAGCATAAGAATTAGTGTAAAGATTCTGTTAAACAAAAAGGCTATAAAAGTCACCTTTGCATAACCTTAGTTTGTGTGCAAGGGGTTGGGATCAGGAAAACAGCTACCCAACCTCCTGTAGCTTGGTGATTTAGAAGGAGGTGAGTTGGTGCTGAGGGTACAGTGATATCTGTATGGAGGACTAGCATGTGCATTGATCCCCCTGGTCTGTATTCCTTCTCCTTTAGCTTTCACTGCAACTCTCTGTTTCACTGCCTTTGGTCTGTTCTGTCACTTCTTCCAACACCCAACATAGGAGAACACCACATCTTCTGGCAGATGAGCTTCAAGGAGCCTTAACTCCCAGCTGAGTAATATGATTCTGCTGCTGAAAGCAGCTGGTTTCAGCTGCTCTTGCTGCCAAGCAGTAGAGAGATTTCTGAGAGTTCACATGTACCCCTTTGTAATGAGGCCAGATTAAAACCCTTCGACTATGAGTACCCAAACCCATAATTTTTTCTTTTGCTTTTTATTTTGGGCAGAAAAATGTATTAAAAACTCACCTCTTAACGGGAAATAAGGGCAGGGACAAAGGATATGTTTCTTCACATCCTGGAAATGGGAGAAAACGAGAGTCCAAAACCCTAAAAAGTTAAATCCAACTTTAAGTTCTGATACTTAATATCTTTGGGATTTGGTGGCAACATTCCCTGAAGAATACAGCAGTCTTATTTGTCACTAGAATGTAGCTAAATTTAAACTGACAGCTATCTTAGAGATACTAAAATATTTTTAGATTTCTGTGCAATATTATTTGTCCTGGTAATGTTCATGGGGAAAACAAGTTGTATTTCTAAAGTACAGTAGTTTTTTTTACCTTATATAATTTTATTTGCTAAGCAGTTAGCTTTGAACCATGTATATTACACATATTTAGTGTTGCTATGAAAATGTTCAGGTGTGAAGCTCCAAAGAGTGAGGGTTTCACAACACATGTTCCTGGCCCTAATTAATGTTAGTTTTAGAGTAATTGCATTGAATCAGCCAGTTCAGTTTCAGATTACGGCCTAAAATTAGTTAGAATAATCAGAGTATTAAAAGATTTTTGAGAAGATGGGGGTTTGAAGTCCTACAAGTTCTGCAGTGTGCAGTGTAATGAGATGAAGTTACACGTGTATTAATGCCAGTTAGTTTAAAGGGATAGGTGGAGAGTAAGGGCTGGGGAGATGATGGGACAGGGCTGAATCTATATTAGAGATGTCTGTCTTTATCTGACTCTACAGCTGGGTGCTGATTTTTGCCTTAGAAGGCTTGCATTTTGCTTGCATATGTATATTAATGCACTTACCTGCTCTATGTAGCAACACATACAGCAGTTATTAAGAAAAATTTATCATGCAGAATGAAATGTGTACATCCCAGTGGGCACAACTGGCAGATAACTTGATATTATGTACAAGTTAGATTCATGACTTTTGCTCTCTGTCCTTCAGGGAACAACCCATCTTCAGCACCCGAGCTCACGTCTTCCAGATTGACCCAAACACTAAGAAGAACTGGGTTCCCACCAGCAAGCATGCTGTTACTGTGTCCTACTTCTATGACAGCACAAGAAATGTCTACAGGATAATCAGTTTGGATGGCTCAAAGGTAAGTTTTATTTCAGAAAACGTGCTTGCTTCATCAATTTTTGTATTTATTTTCTAGTCTGATGTCCTTCATGTATCTTCTCAGATGCTTTTGTCATTATCTGAGTAACAGATTACTGACATGTTAAAATGGTAACATTGCTTCATTACATGTTTTAAATGCTTTGTTACATGTTTTAAGTGTTTATTCAAAAATGCTGTTTTCCATGTGTTCATATTTACTTTGGTAAATCTATTGCTGAATTTAAGGGATGACCTGTTACTTAGTTAATATTAGGAACAGGCTAAAAAGACATTCCCTGTGAGATGCACTAAAAAGTACAAACAAGGTTACAATAACCTGTTTTCATCTCCGCCTTCAATTGTCTATCAGTACCATTGGCTTCAGCATTACGAAGGACATCTGTTCAGTGCCCATAATCACTTAGTAAATCCTTTGTTACGTAATCTTCCAATTTTTGCTGTAGAGAATGTGAAGATTCCCTCCTAATAAAGCTTTCCATGGTAAGCTTTCATCAAAAGTCAGTTGGTTTGGGTTTGGGGTTTTTTGGTGTTGTTTTTCTTTTTTTTTAGTTAGAAAGGATAATGTGTTGAGCTGCTGTTGTAAGAAACCTTGTCTAAGAAATTAATTTGATGTGGAGAAAATACTTGACTGTTCCTTAGGTTTTACCCCTAGTGGCTATAAAAACAGTAACTTTACAAAGAGCATATCAGAAAATTGCAATAAGGACATTAAAGATATACAGAGTGTAACTAAAAGTTGTAATCCTTTCAAGAGACTTTCATTTGCAACTTCTGGAGATGCATCAGTTCATCATGGCTGGAACTGAAATACTTTGTGAGAGCACAGCAGTATTCACAGGGATTTTGTGGCTGTTTATTGAAAGCTGAAAAATATTACTCTGCATTTTTTAAAAATATCCAGAGTATTGCTATTTTAAGTGAGGAATACTTCTATCATAAAGTAGTATGTAGAAATAGATCTCATAGTCAAAGATCTCTGTATGATACTACTTTAAGTGATTGAGACTCTGGTATCAAAGCCTACCAGAATTTTTCCAACTTTAAGTCTTACTTTGTTTCTTCCCTTCCCAGCCTTCCTTCAAATGATTCTTTTAGAATCATAGAATCATTAAGGTTGGAAGAGACCTCCAAGATCATCGAGTCCAACCGTCAACCCAACACCACCATGCCCACTAAACCATGTCCCTAAGCGCCTCATCTACCCGTCTTTTAAATACTTCCAGGGATGGTGACTCAACCACTTCCCTGGGCAGCCTGTTCCAATGTTTAACCACTCTTTCAGTAAAGAAATTTTTCCTTACATCCAATCTAAACCTCCCCTGGCGCAACTTGAGGCCATTTCCTCTCGTCCTTTCACCAGTTACTTGGGAGAAGAGACCAACACCCACCTCGCTACAGCCTCCTTTCAGGTAGTTGTAGAGAGCGATGAGGTCTCCCCTCAGCCTCCCCTTCTCCAGGCTAAACAACCCCAGCTCCCTCAGCCGCTCCTCATAAGACTTGTTCTCCAGACCCCTCACCAGCCTCGTTGCCCTTCTCTGGACACGTTCCAACATCTCAACATCCTTCTTGTAGTGAGGGGCCCAAAACGGAACACAGTATTCGAGCTGTGGCCTCACCAGTGCCGAGTACAGGGTCACGATCACTTCCCTACTCCTGCTGGCCACACTATTTCTGATACAGATACTTTTAGTTCTGTCAAATAATTAAAATACCTGTTGTGTGACTGTTCATAAATAAAGTCTTTGGGATTGGAACCAGATGCTGAATGAAATCAAGACTACCGGTCGTAATCTGTAGCACCTTAACTGATCTGCACAGTTTACAAAATCCTTATTCTGGTATCCACTGGGGTTCCTTTGCCTTTGTCCAAAGCTGCAACTCCTGCAAAGTGGCTTCTGAGTTAAATTGTCAAGCAGTTGTTCATCTATTTATTTGTTCTTTTGTCTACTGCAGCATTTCCTTTACATTTGCAGTACTGTTGGCAAGGTATATTGATAATGCAATCTATGACTTTTATTTACTCTCTGTGTGATTGCTGCAATCCTAATAAAGTTTTCATCCAAGTGTTAGATGTCTGACTAAGATCTAGGATCCCAGTCATGATTAAGAAAGACCCATTGTTTTAGGAATCCCAACACTGCTCTGTAACATACACAGGTGAATGGGAGGGGGATCTTTCTCCATGGAAGAATTTTAAGGAGGTTTTCAGCATAATTCCCAGAGAATTTTTTTATTTTTAATTAAAGCCTCATCTTTTTTAACATAGACAATATCGTATGTACAAAGGGCTAAATATAAACATAAAATATTCTTAAGTATGGAGTGCATCCAGATAGTGTCTCTGCTATGTGGTGTACAGCTGGGTGTCAGTAACACTACTGGCATCTGAGCTTGCAATGCCTTATATTGTTGATTCGTCGGGCAGGAGAGTTAGATTTGCAAAGGAGAAAAAGCTATGCAATTTAATTTTCCCACTTTAAGTTTTGAAATGAAACTGAATAAAGATTATTTTGTGGGTTTTTTTTAAAACCACATTTTACAGTGAAAATGTCTCAAAAACACATGTTGCCAGTGGCCAAAACCACTTGTGGAACCTATACTGCTTTTGAAGCTGTCATGCCCCTCTCTCGGAGGGAATAGATCCAACCAGGTTTTATAGTACACCTTGGTGCTGGTGGGGTTTACAGCACCTTGTGGGTTTGTATGGTGGAGAGAATGACGTGCATGTGGCTGCCCAGTGGCTCAGGTGCTGAGCAGTAGGTCAGCAAGTGTTGGCAATTCACACATATGTTCACTTAGACTGCAGTAAGGGAAGTCTGAGAGAGATGTAATTTAGATTTGAGTGATAACCCTATTTCTGTCCCACACCCTTCCCTCTCTTTAGGTCAGGGGGTTTCAGTAGGATTCCTGGATAAAATTTAACTTTCTTACTGATTGTCTGAAAGTCATTATATCTTTCTTCTTGGAAACAAAAGGGCGTTTTTAAGACATGATCTTCATTCACCTCTGAGGGATGCTGTTGTACATTGCCGATTCCTGCTTGAATTTGCTTGTGGGGGTCTTTGTATTTTGCAAGAGAGGGGTTTTTTCCTTATTCCATATCAATGAGTCTATGAGCCAGATTCAGCTGAGATAGCTCCTATAGAAGCAAGTTCTGCTTATTTTTAATGCATTCTGTGTAATGTTGTTTTCTGAAGCTACAGTCTCCTCTTCAAATACATTGCACAAGAAATGATGCATCTCCCTCTAACTTGACTCCAGAAGATGTTCTAGGACCATGAAGTATGCAGTGTACAGGCCATATTTTATAGTCATGTACAGTATCTGGATCCCTGTTGCCCAAGTCAGGGAGATGCTGATGCAAATAATCTGATAGAACTCGAGGCTGGTTTCTGTTAACCTCTTGAGTAAATATCTTTTATGTGACCTTTTTCTCCTACCACTCTAAGAATCAAGAGAAAGCCTGAAACACAAAATTTCTTATGCAATATGACATGACAACGTTGAGCAGTTGTTGCCAAGGCTTTCAGTTCTCATTAATTATATAGTAATTTCACAGCTCCTTGGAAAAATATGTTTTAGTACTTCTTTCTCCTAGGTGATGGAAGGAAGCTTCTGTTATTTCTCCAGTAACACTGCAGACAGACGCTAGGATTATTCCCAGGATCCTGCTGTCTTTTCTGTTCAATCTCTGGCAGTCACTGAGAAAAGAAAGGAGATCAAGTAATGTGGTTCCTGCAGTACTAGTTAATTCTCTGATAATTTTTTCACAGATGCAAGATACGAAAAAAGCCCTAATAATTTGTGCTCATCTAAAACAAGAGAAGACTGTGGAAAAGAGTGGTTTTCCAGTCTTCAGGTTCCATGAGCCTTGTATATATTATTTCTGAGTCAAGTCTCCCATCAGTGTTACTGCAGTAGATGATCTTTACATTTTAATGACTGTTATAAAATAAACTAGTCACACATTAAAGTGATAACCTGTTTAATGCTGAATACAAGTTTTAAGTAAGGCCTGTAAGCACAGCTCTTCAGTGATCTTCCTTTGAAGAAGTTAAAAAATACTGTGTGTCTTAATTATTATTGCCATCAGTTTTAGCACAAGTTAAAATTATATTTGAAGTTAAAATTATATTTGACCGCTGCTGTATATCTTGCAGCTGTTGGTTTTGCAGTCAGTAAAACGAACAGCTAAGACACATGCCCTATTTTCTCATAGCTAAACTAATATGAAAGGAAAACATGAAAGCTATTTTATTATTCTGACAAAATCTAAAGATAACAAAATCAGTTTTCTTCAAAAGCTAAATGACTGCCTGTCAGATTGACTATATTCTGTTTTTAAGATACTCTTGTAAATTTATACTTAACAATATTCTTAAAAGTTGATGAAATATTTGACACTTGTTATACTGGTAACTCTACAGTGAAATTTGGCGTAGAGGAGAGCAGTTAAAGTGGTACCTATTTGAGTAGACAAGACAGATTTAATTGTAAATTCTAATTTAAAAAATAAATATTTTTCTTAAGCTGAAGACGTGAAGGATTCATATCTAATATTTTCCAGAAGTGGCTGACACTGACTATATCTGTAGTTTGCTCTAGCATTGCACTTTTTAAAAGCATAATTAATTTAGCATATGAGAGATCTAGCACACTAATGCTTTTAATTCAGAGAGGATTGAAAGCCTTGATTTCCTTGTATAATTGGTAAATCTAATGAAAGGAGACTTTTTTTTTGTATCACTGGGATCTGAATGTAGTCTTCCCAGTGAGAAACTTGCTGTCTTTGGACTAATACTGTCCACTGGAGTGGAGCCGCCTCATTTTTCTCTGCTGGAACATAAAGGGAAGAATCACAGCAACTCTTTCTCAATACAATTATTTTTTAAAAAGTTTCTTCCTACCTTTCTCCCTTGCAAGGAAGTAATTTGACAGTGACTGTAACCCAGCCTAAATGCAGACTGCTGTCAAAACAGATAGCCCATTCTGGTCCCGGCAGCCTGTTCTGGGTTCTCTTGTGCAGCCAGCCACGTGGTCAGCTGAGCAGTGAGCAGTCTCAGCTAAAAACTGGTTGGTTTCTCCAAGGCTTTTCACTGGGTTAATTTGCAACCAGCTGTGCCACTGTCACTGCAGCAAATGCCAGTCCTGCAGGCTTTAAACCTGTTGCTTGGAGATCATACGTCCCTGTCTTCAGAGTCATCTTCTGCATTGAGGAAGATAACATAATACGCACACTCTCAAATCTGTGATATAAGTTCAAATTAATCAAGCAATGGATGGAACTAGGGCTTAAGCAAGCTAGACAACATAGCTAGAGCTTGAGTTGGGAGGAAGACTCTTTTCTACACTGTCCCCAGGATATTTAATTTCAAACATATTACTGTTGACAGCTTCCACAGCAGGAGAGATTGAGCATTAAGTGAACAGCTCTGTTCTGGGCTTCCACCAGGTTATTTCAAAAGTGGGCTTCCAAGCACTCACACTGCACAAGAAGACAAGAAGCATAGAAGAAAAAAAGAGCTCCAGAAAACCACCTTTCCAAGAAGTCCACCTCCCTGTCTCATACTGTCTCTTCTGTCCTGTGTGGCATGGACAGCCATTTTCTATGAGGTCAGTTGAAGGCCATAGTGCAAGTGCAAGCCTGCTGGCTATATTTGGGCTCCGAACGTTATGCCTAAAGAAAGGAGAATGATGTTTGAATTCCAGTGACTTCACTGACCAGCTTCTCTTATCTGAAAATCTGAGGAGGCGTTTTGTGGACAATTAATGCTGGAGATGATTCTGCAGTCTCTGATCACACAGAAAATCCTGCCCTTGACCTGATGAGGCTTGTTGGTTCAAATATAAGCTTGCAGGCAGTCCAAAATTTTCCAGGAGTTGTTCACAGTGGTAGCCAAAACTTGCATTTTGAGGCAACGGTCATCGGAGAGAACTGCTGGTTTGATATCCTCAGCTACATCCAGATTTGCTCTTCTAATTTAATGCAAGTATAGTGGAGCTGCCAAAGCTACTGCAGAGGATACCAGTTTTGTTAAATTCATCTGTGCTGCAGTATTTTTGCTTGTCTTTCTACATGTTGCAATACAACGTGTTCTTCTGAACTTTCTTGCAATACTCCTCTCTGCCACTTCATCTGAGAATCACCATATGCATGGGAGCTGTTTGTGGGCTTAGCTGCCCCTCAGCTGTAAGTTTTTCAGGCTTGCCCTGTAGAATTCAGAGAAAATTTTATGTTGATGGTAGCTGTGCTCCAGTGCTACCCAAATCTCAGCAAAAACAAAGGGTGCTAAGTAAACTCCCTGACTACTCATTTTAACATCCACCCAGAAGGCCATCTCACACAAGTAGTATAGACTGATTTTGACTTCTAGAAGATCTCGGGCTTGGGAGAGCAGCACTCGGTCTCTCTGATGTTGACATTTCTCACTGTCACCATCCTGAGAAAATACTGTTATTCGCTACACATTTGTACAGTTCCTGCTATTCGAAGAATAAAAGAAAGATTTTGTTGTTTACGACAGAGAAGATGGCTTGGACTCTGTGGATTTTGTTGCTGCTCTAGGATTCTTCGGTAATCACTGGCATTAACCTGCCAGGGGTAAGGCAGGGGTTATGGTTTCATGGAAGCAGGAAACGTGCACACTGATGTTCAAAAGATTCCCAACTCGATAGATTAAGACAATTGCAGTAGGACACATACTGACAATAACCTTTGGAGCACAGTAGCTGGCATATAAGAAAGATTCTTGCTGAAGTGTTCTGCTCACAGCGTGTGCTATTTTCTGGGAAGTTTTAAGGACATTCTCTTTCACTTGGGTGTTACAAAGCACCCGTAATTCATGAAAAGGGCTGTGAATTATTTTACAAATGTGGCTGAAACTCTTAGTAGTGCCAGACAGATGAGAAAGCATGCCTGCATTTCACTTCAAATACACATAACTTTGGGTTTATGGCTAGTCTTTCTCGTTCACGTTGGCTGGTTATAGACTGTGCTAACCATTAGTTTTTTAGTTAAATGGAACCCATTGGTGTCACTATAAGACATTATCCTGACGTACTTTAAGTCAGCTGGACAGTTGCACATCGCAGATTTAGAATATGTTAGACAAACTTTAGTGTGATGGAAATACTGTTGAAATCCATGGTAACACTTTAGTTGCTTTTAGTGGAACCAGCATATCATCTAATAGTTGCATTTTTTGTTTACATTAGCAGAAGTTGTATGCTGGAGGATGTTGTTCTTCCATCCTGTATATAACAAGAACTAGAGAAGAAAAATTATTCTGAGAGTAGCTCTTCTTCTGTAGTTGGAGTATGACCCTGTCACTGTTAGGCCTGCTTCTGTGTGTATAAAGGAAAAACAGATTCTTGTAATACAGAAACTTAAAAAGAAATTGTGATTCTTGTTTTATTGCATGTTTTCCAGTGAGAACCACATATGCAACAGGGGTGGGGGTAATGCAACAGTGAAGCTTACAGTGGAGCTTGAGAGGCGTTGCCTTAGGGGACAAAGAAATACACTTGTGAGACAAAAAAGGACTTTGCTAGTTCTTCTGTTCTGATCCATCTGATCTAATGATTAACATTAGCCTATGCAGATGCTTTAAAGGACTTTTTTTAGACTTGCTAATTATTAAATGACTGATTGCAATTGCAAACAGGTGCCCCCCCCAGCTTTTGCTCCTTTTAGAGAATGTACGTGAAAATATGCTTTTGTAATTTTAGCTGTGATTGAATTAGAAAACTGTTCCCTAGTTCTCATTGTCTCTCATTCAGTGTACACAGATACTTGACTACAATATTGGCATTTTCAATTATGAGTAGTCTTCAAAAAAAAAAATCAAAACCATAAAACCCCTTTTTTACAACTATTACTTTTTTTCAGGCAATAATAAATAGCACTATCACCCCCAACATGACATTTACTAAAACATCCCAGAAGTTTGGCCAGTGGGCAGACAGCAGGGCGAATACAGTCTATGGCTTGGGATTTTCATCTGAACATCACCTTTCAAAAGTAAGTATGACAGTAGCAACTATTCAGCTAGTCAAGTGGCTTAAGACTATTTGATTCCTGCTTGTTGTTTCTTGACTCAGTGCTCACTGCTGTTGTTATTTAAAAATAATTTACAAAAAAATGTTCTGTATCAATCCTTATAATGTAAAAAGACAAGACAAAGAGTGATACCTGCAAGTTTTCTTTTAACTGATGGAGGAAAGGAGGGAGATTTATGCTATCACAGTATATGTTGTTAATGCTTTCTAATTGTTCATTTGTTAGGTTTCTCTTTTTTTAAAGTTGCTCTCCCATTACAGTTTTCCATGATAGAATTTAAAGGAGTGGACAATTTAGTGTTTCTTCTGTATTTAGATCTCCTAGAAAAAAAATTGTTGGTAGTCTTCAGATGCTTTTTTGTCTTTTAAGCCACATTCACTTTCACTTTTCTACTATGTATTGCATCAAATTACAGATATTTCAGCATCTGCAGGCGTAAAGTAAAGCTAGTGGGAAATATATTCAGTGTAAAAGAAAACGACATTTTCTTGTTGGAATACAGAAGTTTGTTTACTAAAGAAACTCTGTGCCGTACGTGAGGGTTTTTTTCTGGTCTACTTGTGCAGGAGGCAACTACACCTTATTCCGAGGAAAGCAGTAACCCGTTTCTCAAAGTGATGGTATAGTTCCTCTGAGCACCAGGAACCTGTACAAGCCAATGTCATTTTTCTCCAGATGAGGAATTTCAGTTCAGTTTAAGAACATGTCTCTACATTAAGCAGAGAATTTTCATCTTTGAAGGATACAAAAGATCTGGAAACCCAAGTGCAATAAAAGGAATGTATAGTACATGTTTAAGTAAGGAATAATGATTGGCTTGTTATTTACAAAAAAAAATAATGATACCAGCCCTTTTGAGAAAGCAATTGTCGCTATCCAAGGACATGGGCCTGTTAGAAAACCATTAAAATGAGAACCAGTACATCTGCTTTATTTGGACAAGTGTTAAACCTGTAAGATTTCTTCCTTTCATAACCAGCTAGCTTTCATTTCCATGAAGCAGTACAAACACAGGAAATTCTGAATGATACTAACTTTGCATGTGTGTTTGTGCATCTATCATTGCTTCAGTGAACTTGGAAACTCTGTTACTTACTTAAAATGGTGTGTGTGTCCTGGAGGCACTTGCTTACCAAGTGGTAATAACCTTTCTTAATATTTCAAGGGACTTAGCATAAATGCTAATTTAGTTTACCTCTCTCATAGACTATCTTGTTTTTCTTAATCACAGAATGCTTCTTTGGAGGCAAAGTATCATGCTGTAGTCATGCACGCTGTGTTTGCCAGACTTTAAATACTAGGTTATCCTTGCCAGTGAAAATATTTTGGGTTTTTTATCTGTCCTATTCTTGACTCTTTTCTTGCTCTCCCCATGTGGTACTTACTTCCTTCTTAATGACAGTTGTTTCAATCCCATTCTTCCACTGACCTCAAACAGTTGGCTAAGAGTTTTAAGTATGCCCTTGGCTTAAAACTTTATATTGCTGTTGAAAAAATCTGAAAAGCTACAGTAGATATTTTGTCTTAAGTATGTGTTTGATCAGCAGTTACTCGGATTGCTGTGTTATATGAAGAATATGCAAATCTGTTAAGAAAAATACCAAGTGACAGACCTTTTATGAAGCTTATGGTGATGAATCTTCAGGACCTTTTCAGCAAACTGTTCCTGTTGTGTTATATCTTAATTATCAAACTAATATTCATGTGATTGTGTTATATCTTAATTATCAAACTGGTATTCATGTGAGCTGAAATTGCTGATCGTTGATACTAAAATTCATAAAGGTAAAACTTTTTGGGTTATTTTAAAATTAACAAACATATTTGATGGGGGAAAGGAAACTTTTCTTTAGATTACAGTCTATTCAGTCACTGGAGTTGGTAGATATGTTGGTCTTGGAGTCAGAAAAGCTGAATTAGAAACCCTGGATCTGCTGTGTAGCTTTAGAGAAATCACATCTATATTCTCTTTCTTGTTTGTCTGCTCAGATTACTAACTCTCACTTCTGTGCACTGGCATTGTAGTCAAATTTACCAGAGTACTCTTTGGTACCTCTAGCACTGTAGGACATGAAATCTAATTTAGGACTCAAGGTACTACTGGATTTTAGTAATAGGGCTAACAAACTGTATTAATGGATTTGTTCAGAAACAGGTTGCTTCTAGAAGTTGCCTTAAAAATTGATTCTGGAACGTCTTCTGTATTTGATTTATCAAAGTCCTTAAGTGAACAGCCCTGTTGTATGTAATTTGTTTTGCGGTAGTGTCTCTAGTCCCCAGTGAAATACTTCAAGTTCCAGGGAGCAAAAGACATCCTGCAACGACAAAAAAACTTCATCTAGTCCATGACTGATTTCAACAAGTTAATGAAGCAAATAATCAGAGCAGATAAGAATAAACTGTTTATTCTCAGATCATTGTCTGCTTAGCTTATAGTACATGTTTGACTTTTGGACTATTCGTTTTTGATTCATGTGCCTTTGTCCTCCTAAACTAATTACTAGGGTAGAGAGCAATAGCGGTAACCTCTTTCTGTACAATTATTGTGACTGAGAATTAGCAGGGTGAGAATATCTGATAGAATAATAATGGCACTCTAATCAACTTCACATACAAACAGTATAGAAGAAAATGAATTAAACATTTATTTATCTTCATTAGACCTTTGCTCAATATGTTAGACCACAAATTCACCTCAAGATTGTTCCATCAGAAGTCGGTGATACCTGAAAGAGGATTCCTGTGTTGAAGAATATTCCTTTCACAGGATCAGGATTTGCTAGCAGAGTCCCTCATGCTGCTGCAGTAGGAGGAATAGAATGTCCCATGATTTTCAGAAAAAAAATGAGATTACTTTCTCATTCAGAATATAATTCTTTGCTTTTGATAGTATCCTGATGTATGAGAAGAAATATTCCTTTTCAGGTTTGCTGTCTGTCTTACCCCTTTGAATTAGTTGACCTGATTTATTCCATATAACTTAAGAGTATGCTAAATGGCAAAAGTGCCCCCACAGATACCCTCTTGTAGTCTCCCTGCACAATTTTTCATCTTTTCCTTAAAATATTGATCCTCCAGAGAACCTTTCCATTCATACCATGAGATCTCATCTTTATTATTCAGGAATTTTATCAAGAGATTGCTGTTACCCATCCCCTGACTATCTCAAGGAATTCTAGTAAATCTGTGAAAATTTCCACTACATTAGTCTTGTTGGCTCTTTCTTAGAATGTTATCTATTTCTCTCTTACATATCTTTTTACAGTTTCTACCACTGTGATACAGAAGATCATATTTACTGCCTTGTACATCTTCAGCCATTTATTCTAAACCTCAGCATCATGTTTTCCATTTACCAATCCTTTGGTCTTAAAGCTGATTTAAATAATAGGTTACGCATCAGATTTTGAGGTCTATGTACAAGTCTTAAATAAGTATCATCTAGTTCTGGTGATCTGTTGCCGATTTTATCATCCGTTCTGAGACGTTTTTTGATGCTGGATTAGACTTTTAGGGTGATATCTTTTGTCTCCTTCTATATTCAGGAAACGTATGCTTTTAAATAACCTGACAGGTGGAATATAGGATACAAGTGGAGAAGAATGATATTTCCTCAAATACTAATAGCCTACCAGGAGAAGTAGTTTAAAGACAATAAGGTTTTTTAGGTCTTGCATAGCAAGTGAAGTTCTGATTGAAAATAGTTGAGGAGATTGTGTCACACAAAGGGTAGCCTTCGTCCCTTCTAAATACATGCAGTGCAAAACAATTTCTTTGTGTGCTGCTGCCAGAGACATTTAGAAGCTATTGGTGAAGCTTCCAGTGTTTTTGTAGAATCATTTCAGTCTTAAGATGATCATAATAAGATAATGTTCTGTATAAAAGTAGTAGGAAACAAAAACAAATGCTTGGCTACTATAGCAATTAGTGTCGTGTCAAGCTGAGATCTATGAAGCCAAATTTTTCTCTAGTCAGAGAAACTAGGTCCTATTCTTAATAAATTGATTTAATGTCTCAAATTTAAGGGTGCATGTATTTCTAAATTGCTGCTTTAGCTATTTTCTGGAAGAGGTACATGTAGCATAGAAATCAAGCTTCATATGGCAGTTCAATGTGCAATTCTTGAATTTAGTGTTCAGTATATGCAAATGTTTAGTTCAATGAATTTGTTCTTTGACTTGATTGATGTCAATGAACAATCAAGAAATGAACTTGACTCAATATTCCCACTGCTGCTTTCCTAATTAGCTATTGAAGTTATAAATGCTGTTAAAATTTGGAAAGAAATCAGTATTGTTTCAGTCATGAAAGAATGAAGCCCATTGAAAGCTCTAGGCTAATAGTGACCACAGTAGGCTTCAGAACCAGATCATTTGTTGTCAGGAGGAGAGTAAAACCTGACTCTGAGAGCAGCTGTGTAAGGCAGCTTGTCACTATTATTAGCCATCTCTGAGGTGAGGTTTTTTAACACTATCAATCAGGAACAGATTGAACTTTGTTGCATCATAATTTTCCTGACATATGAACAGTGTATGTTATGTCTGAAAGGTACTGAAATGTATATCACTGTGTAACTCGCTTAAATAAGTATCTAATAAAGAGAAAAATTTAAAAATTCTATTGACAGAATTTGACTTTGTAAAATGTTAAGTACAGCATTCTGTTCTGCATGTAATGTACTACTTCACGCCTACTCTTTCTCTTTTTCCTTTTTTTTAAAAACATATGTACCTTCAGTTTGCTGAAAAATTTCAGGAATTCAAAGAAGCCGCACGACTAGCAAAGGAAAAATCCCAAGAAAAGATGGAGCTAACAAGTACACCCTCTCAAGTGAGTCTTATTGCCTGATGCAAGCCTAGTACTTCATATCTGTGCTACTTACTGTATTGCATCTTAAACACACATGTTGTATTAAAAATGAATCGGGTACTTCCAAGTTACCCTGAATCCTCTCAACAGTCAGCTAAAAGTGTCAAGAAGTCTAAGAATACATTTAACATACACTACAGAAGTGTCAAAGGGACTTGCTTTGAAATAAAATTGGCCTTTTGTTTATTCCCATTCCTTTCTTTGAGCTTTCCCCAGAAAATGAGTAAACATGGTGAGTAGTTATGTAAGTAAATCTATAATAAACACGTTTTGTGGTTTTTCTTACTGTATCTATGAAACTTAAGGTGGTGCACTGTAAAGGACTTCTATAGAAGAATCATTACAACTAAAATCAAAGTTAAAACAGCAATCTTTTTTTACTTATTTCCTACTGTGTAGTATTCACTTGTGAAATGTGTTGAAGGAAGATGACAGATTCACATGCTGGTTCTGGAGTTTTATTACAGTTAGCCGTGATGTAAAAGACAGGTTTATAAAAGGTATCTCAAAACATGAACTGGGTTAATACAGGCCTAACAGGAGGATAAATTGATATAGTCACATTTACATTAGTCATGCCTAAAATTAGTTTGCTTGAAAACGAATACTTTGAATTTGCTTTGAAAAAAGAAATTGCATGAGGCTTTTATGCCCTTCCAGTCCTGCCCTCCCCCGCCCAGTGTTTCTGGCTCTGTGTGTAGCTATTTGCTTTGTTTTAAGCAATAGTGAAGACAAAGGTAATTCCTTCTCTTGGAGGATGAAGCAGCTTTAAAACTACAGCAGGGGTTCCTGAGTTGAGTAGGGTTAATGCAGTTGAGTCTTTTTTCTGGGGAGTCTTCATTCATTGAATCAGTGCATCTCTTGGGTATTTTGCACTGTAAAATGCTCCTGATCTTTGATGGAACAAGGATGGCAGGCAGTGTGCAACATGCTGTATGAATAGTTTTATTGCCACCAGAAAGCTACATCGGGTGTCCTTCCAAGAGAAGTCAGTGGAAACTACAAGAATGTACACAATGAACCAACCTCATGTTGTTTTCCCAGTAGGCATTTTGCCCAAGTGCTAGGTTGGCTTTTGCTATTAACAGGAAACCGCTTGCTCTGCTGTAACAGGAGAAAAATAAGGCAGTCTTTTTTTATTCATTTTCTTGACTGTCTCTAAATTTCTAATAAATTCCATAAATAAACACAGAGATAATGGAAGTAGATATTTCAATATTATAACCTAATATACACTTGGCTTTAGAAACAGTGAAGTGCTTCAGCCAGGCCTCTAGTTACTCGATATTATAGGCAAAACAACTACTCTGCTTCTCTTTTAACATGTTGATTAATAGTCTGGACTCAGAAGTTAAATCTGACACTGTCGAATAGAGTGATGACTTACTTGGTTTGGACATCAATTTGAACTACTCACTCAGAGACAAGATGCTTTCATCTAGCAGCTGCCCAGAGTTAAAGCTTTCTCTTAAACTATATGAGCTGTTAATATTGTTCATTTTCCTGTACAGATTTCTTTTTATACTTGGAACCTAACATTTTGTACTGTAGGCAGTTACAGAAGTGTTACCTTGAGCGATTCTATAATGCACGTTGAGAGCTACAATTTAATTACTGCACACTTAGGAATAATTTCATATTCAGGCCTTACTTTTCATCTCTTGGCTTTGCGCTGCGTTGATAAGTTAGCGTATTATTCTGAAAGATACAGTTAGTGCAAGTGCTGACACATCAGCATAATAGTCTTCACATACTTAATGCATCTCATTAGTTCCCCAGAGGGAAGGGAGTTGAATCAGGAACTTCAGAGTTTGGAGCAGATGAGAAGTGATGGCTTCATGGCAAACTGCAGCACTTCCATGGTGCTGGGGCTCATTCAAAGAGATGTATAACTGGGGGAAGATGGGTGCTTGGTAGTGGGGAGGGAAGGTGGGACCCTAGAGGCGTTTGAAGGAGCACTTGCTGTCATTTTGATTATCTGCCAAAAAGTGGCTGCAAGGCAAATAATTCAAGTGTTGCCTTTCTCAATCACTTTACAGCTCTTCTTTCCCTTTTGCAAAGTAATCCTTTGCAGAGAGGGCGAGTAAAAGAGGAAGGAGGTATTTTCAGTGGCCAGTCGAGACTTCGCAGGAACCTGGCTTTTTCAGGAGGCTTTGACAGGAAAGGCATTGGGAGGTAGTGTGTGAGTAGTGAGCTCTCTAACAGTAACCCAGTTAGCTACAAGCGTCAATCCCTCTGCTGACTTGGACTTGCAGATATCCTTCTGCATTAAATTAATGATAGGTAGGAAGATACTGCATATCAAAACTGGAAAATATACATGTCAAACTTAAATAAAATGTTATATTTCTCTTGGTACTGCTTTAAAAAAAGCCTTTATTATTTACCAATTAATTAAAGTACCAGATAATGGTACATTGCCTACTCTCTCTGCTACACAATTCTAAAAGAGAAAAAGTACATGTGCTTTTTTCTGCATTCAGTATGTCCCTACAGATTGAATCTTTATTAAAATATCTATCTATAACTACTGTAACAAAACCCTGCACAAGGTATTTGCTGTTCACTATTGTTTGATGTAACCCTCCACATACTACTGGTATGTGTGAGTTTCAATTCTGAACGTCCTGCAAAAACTTCTTGTGAAACTAAGGAGAAATAGAAAACAAGAGGTAACAACAGAAATATCTCAGAAATAGAATATGTATTTGTAGTTCAAGTACTTACCAGAGTTAGCCATGTTAAAACTTAAGCACAATCTTACCTAAAATCCACTGAAGTTAGGTTGCTTCTCTAAGGTGTTACGAGCTTTAGCAAAGTGCTGGTACTATTTGGTATTTCCACCACAAAAGTGCCTCAATGGCCAGGAAGTAGTAGTTCCATGTTGAGTATTTTTTGGATATACTGTTTCATCTGATGGCATGTATTCTTTGGCTTTTTTTTGTGTGTGTGTGAAACATGTAGTAGAAAGAAAACAATACATAGTCCAATTTGCAATTACTTAATAGCAGGAGTTCCTTTTCCCCTAAGCTATGCTGCTGCTAATTTTAAACTCTGCATTCCTACTGTTTCTATAATAGTGCCTCTTCTCCTCCTATTTACCAGCAGGCTTTGCTTTAATTTCCCAGAATATCAGATAATATATAAAATCACCGTTTACCTTACTGTAAAAAGAACTTAACTTGTCCAGAGGAAGACAGTGACCTGGACGAACAAATTACAAGACAGATGCTGCTTTGTTATGTGTAAGTCCCACCGAGTGCACGGTGCTGTCCTGAAATGAAGAGGAAAGCATTGTTTCTGTGTCACAGAACTTGTGCTTTCAACCCATCTGTATTAAGATGGATTCATATAATAATACACACTTTATCTATATCTGGAATGTCTGGGGGCTTCGGTCTAGAAAGAAGTTGTCTATTTTGGTACTTCTAAGACCACCTGTGCACACAGGTACCCCATCTGGTGTCCCTTTAATTCAGCCTTAGATAGTAAAGCTTTGCAGTGCTTTTATCTTGTTTATATAAAACTAAAATACTGGCTCCCCTGCTGTGCCACCTCCTATTTCCCAGACCCGTCTTTTCATATAGGGAATTATTTTGCTCATGTCAAAAACTCATGGATCTTACAGTGACAAGCCACCCATGGTCTATTTTCAATTACAAGCTTGCCTGTGCACTGAAAGAGCAACACTTTGATCTGGAGTTCACTGAGCTGCATGAAGCAATAGCCTGAAAACTGTGTCTCTCCCCTCTCTCCCCCCTTTTTTTTAAACTAACCTTAATTAGGTTCAAGTATAGAACCAAATAGAGCAGTTTGTGCGGTTTGCAGTCTCACCCCATCAGTCTTACAACCAACTGGAATCTGAACCTCAGTTCTTCTTTTTCTCTAAGCAAGAATCTGTCCTCAGAATCTACTTCTTTTGACCCCGGTCATTTCAGATTAAGACCTCTGTTAATTTCTGAAATTGGTGAGTAGTTTACTAAAAATAGTCTTGTCTGTGACTCTGAGCCCCTCCTATGCAGACTATTGGGAATAGCTATTGCCTGAGAAGTTTTAGAATCACAACATTTTTTAGTGCAAGGAGTGGATTGGTTTTGGCAAAATGGTCATGGTTTATCACCTGTTGGCTTTTTCTTTGTAGAAGTACAAAATTTACTTACAAAGCTTGTGAAAAAAGTAGCTTTCTGGGATGTTATGTGAATTTCTATACTGGAACAAATGTTTCACATGTGTTGTGGTAACTGAATTAGTAGCTGGCAGACTTATGCCATTGCCAGTCAGTACTGAACAGAGAAGCACTATGAAAAACAGCAATGCCAGGGAAGGGTATGGAATACTTAATGGGAAACCAGTATAATACTGTCTAAGAAACCAAGCTGGAGTTGGTTTGGTTTGTTCATTATTTTAGAACCACCTACTCCTCCTTTTCTTCTGTTCTGTATTTAGTCACCATTAAAAGGTGGCTTGATCTGTGCTGTGAAGTCTGTTTGTTTTACTTTAAAGACTCTTTTGTGAGTGCATGCGCTTTGTTTATTTTTGAATTTGAAATTGATTTTGAAATTTAAGGCATCTTTTGATTAATTCCCCTCTGTTATGTTCAGTTTATATACTGTAGGCACTGTCATTTTTATACTGCTTGGCATCACCGGAGTTCTGCATATTCGTTAGGAGGACCAGAGCTCCTTTAGACAGTGCAGATCTCTGACAAACTCTTGAATAGCAAAATATACCTGAGTCAGACTCTCACATTTACATGTCATGTAGAAAAATAGTAATCCTCAGTCCACGTTTAAGTCCAGGACTGGCAAGTGACTTAAAGTTCAGTATCCTCCAGAGACCGACATATGATGCAATAGTGGTTTTATACCACAGGAGAGCTGTTAATCCTTTCTTCTCAAATGCATGAAACACCTATTTGTAGCTGTCATGAGTGGGAAATATCAGGCCTTAAAATATGTCATGGATTTACAGGAAGACTTAGCATTTTCAATTTAAGCACTGTTTTTTCCATATAGTATCCATACAGTTGAATGTTAGAACTAAGTTAACCTGCTCTCCCAGCTGGAAGGGAAGGGTGAAAATCTCTTTTTAAGCTGACCGCAGTTTCTTCCCCAACTCTGTGAAGTCTGGAGTGGATGTGTGAAGCTATAATGGCATGGAATAAAAACTTCATTACATATGAACATCTCACAAAAATGTTTCTAAAATTCTTTTACTCTCTCCAATGAATATAACATGGGAACATATTATTTGTAAACATTCGTAAAGATTTTGTTGAGTGTAAGTGGCTTTTTCTGTTGTCTTTGGTACTTTATTCATAGCCAGCTTCATTATAGTTGGCTGCAAACAAATTATTTATCAGGCAGGGGTAGTTGTGAGTGTGTAAGAGCACTGATTAACGTGTATTATTGGTGGAAGAAATACATACTAGAATCTGATGCTTCTCTTGTACATACAAAATCAGCCCCTAATGAATTTGCAGGCAGTGAACCTTTAGGTATTACATAGACTGTAATGTTTGTCTGCATTAATTTTTGTCACTTGAATTTCATTCACATTAGAAGTCTATGAAAGTGCTTTACTGAAAAATAAGCCTAGATGGAACTTGCACATTTATTTCTCTTCTATTGAAATAATTTTTACGCATTCACGCTTAAAACATTTTAATATGTAGGCTCTGGCTTTATGTATCTAATAATAGTGTTGTAGGAATTTTAGTTTGAAGATACAAGCCATCCAGATTTTGTAGGGTGTGGTATGTATTTTTTAGAATATCTAGTGCAGTTTGGGAAGAGGAGGAAACAAAGGAGAAACTCTTGGGTCCATAAAGGCTTTCATTTAATGTCAGTGGAAACTGTTTATCAAATCAGAGGATAATAATAGACAAAACCATATAATTTGTATAAAATAATTCATTTACCTGTTTATCTTGATAACTCTGCTCTCCTTTCACACTTAATTTCAATTCAATTTCAGTTCAGTAAAATTTTTCTGTAGAAATCAAGATTTAATTTTGACTTTTAAAGTATTAACACTTAAAATAATAGTTTTTAATATAAAATCTTGAATAACAAGATTCTTCCTGAAAGTAGGTAACAGTTTGCATTTATATAATAAAAAAATTACATTTGTATTATAAGTAAGTTTATATCTGTGGAATTAAATCAGTGTAAGCTAATTATTTCTGCTTTTTAATCAAGTAGGCATTTAATACAAAGGTGTGGAATGGAGACACCGGTGCATGTGCATTGTATAACTTGATAAATGGTAAATATAATAGAACTTGAAGTCAGTATTAAAATGTTCTATCACCCACTAATTCGAGTGTAGAGTGAGACATATATCTCTCACTATGTGAGAAATATGGCAGAATAAAAGCAAAATTTTGACAGTTGTGCTGCAAATGCTTAATGTAACTTAAAGTGCAATGGAAACGTTGGTTAAGGGACACCAGAAAGGTGTGGAAGGTGATGATGACAGCCAGATCTTTCTTTATTTAAAAGAACTAAGTTTTTCACCTAGTTAAGTCTCAAAGTCAAAGACAACAATTCTTATAAATGGAGGATCAGATTTAGTATTGGCTTTCAAAAAGCCTTATCCTTGTAAACTAGTTGAAGGCTTCAATTGGAGGCTCAAAATTAAACCCTGATCTTGCAGGATCATGACCATCTTCAGATACTTTGTAATTCCTTCTGAGATTGCTGTTCTTCAGCTTCCTATGCAGAGCGTCAAAGAGCTGGGAAGAAGAGCCGCTGGCCTTCCAGAGACTGTGCTTGTGCTTCAGTTTAATAACATTAAATAGCAGGTTTATCTGTTCCCCATGCAGATGGTAGAAGGCTGTGTGGCCATAGGAGATGCTTAGCTTTTGGAAATACTGTAATTCAGCCGGTCCTCTGCTGTATAGACACCCCTCCATGACATCCAGTGAACGCCATTGATGAAACTCTTCTATCTTAGAGTTAAATGTTACCGCTTGGTTACTAAAAGCCTGCTAAGACATTTTAAAATTGAGAGGAGCTACTACTTAGCTTATATGACGTGCTTATCTCCTGCAAAAATCGTTACTTAAAAAAGAATATAATAGGAAGGAAAATACTAGAATTAAACCACATACAAGGACTGAAAAGCCTATAATAGCCTTAGGATGTGGGCTACAAGGGTGTGCTTTGTATAAAAAAAGTACTTTTTGGTGACTAGAAATTAGCAAATGGTGTTTGTTGGCCAAAACACAAATGTACATGTTGGTGTGATGAAGGGTGATTAAAACCACACCAGTGCCTTCTGCTGGGAAGCAGCCATGAAGTTTTTCAGGTGTCCAGTTACATAGCGGTAGCAGAAGCTGCCTGGGTGTAGCTGTAGTATTCTCCTTCCCAGATAATACCATGACCAGCAAGAGCTAGGCCAGGCTAACGTGCCTACGAAAGTTTTGCAAGGACTCTGCTGAACAAGTGTTCTTTACAGACAGCTCATAGGTGGAACTGTGAACACACCACCAATGGCCCTTCCACTGTTCACTTTGGTTAATAAACTATATGAAAGCTAGATTTTGAAACAAATACCAGAATTGTTTGTTTCATGGTGTTAGAATATAAAGTAAGAGACAAGAATCCTGGGTGTCAATAGTTACCCATTGTGTAGCAGGATGAGAGCTGAATGTAATACCAGGTAAGGGAGAGAGGTCTGCAATAAGCAGGAGGCTGGATACTTGCAAATAATTCATAGGTCAGTTGTGTTTTGTACAAGATAATGTGAATCTTAGGGTAATATACTTCTAAATTAAATTCACATGATGAAATATGACCATGAGGGATGCTGGAAATATGAGCCTGCCATTAATTCTACCTAAAATTTGTGTATCATTTAAGAATTGATGTTAGTGCTTATATGCACATAGCCTTCCTGAGCAGGTCACTTTGTAATTTTAATGTGTTGTTTGTTTTACTTAAGGAATCAGCTGGTGGGGATATTCAGTCTCCTTTAACGCCGGAAAGTATTAATGGGACAGATGATGAGAGAGCGACGCCAGAAGTGACGCAGAACTCAGAACCAAGGGCTGAACCAACCCAGAACGCATTGCCATTTACCCATAGGTACAGATTCCATTCCCACATCCTGATTAAGTGATTCCTGTCTCCTTCCTCGTTAAAGGGACCTTCTCCCATAATGTATGAAAAAAACGCCAAACCCAACCCCACCCCCCAAAAAATGCACTGACTTTCAGATTTGCAATATAATCTTTGTTTTAAGAAAAAAACATGTATGAGAAAATCTCTTGGAATAAGATTTGGGGGAACATTACTTTATAGTTTAATCAGCTTAACGGGAGCCCTTGAACACTGCTTAGTGCAGGTGTCCCTTTAACAGGAAGCATTGTTTCAATGTCTGAGATCTTGGTAAAATTAACTGCTTCATAGACTATTCCAATTAAATTAGTTTTGCACACATTCTTTAAATGACTGATAGGACTGGATGTCAGTCTTTCATTGACGAGTTGGTGGAAGAAAGGGGACTCTTACAACACTTCCGGATTATGAAGTTTAAAGCAGCCTTTAACTGAACAGTTCTCTGACAGTTGAAAACATTTTTCAACTTTTTTTCAAAATATGAGAGAAGTGTAGTTCTGCTTTAGACTGAATTATAATTCGTTGCTCTAGGAATGCTGTGCTCTGTTGTTCTTTAAAAAAGCTAGGACTTTTTATTTAATGATACAAATAATGAGTTAAGATGGATATATCTCACCTATTAGAAATGATTGTAAATGGGTCACTCTCAATAAAACACAATGTATTGAGACCATGGAGAGTAACAGAAACATTTAATAACCTTAGAACAGAGCTAGAAATACTAGATATATTTTTTTAAACGTTGTGTAATTCAGTTTAAATAGAGTTTAAGAGATCTTGGTCAAAGGTTGGGGAATACTAGGATGTCAGCTATGTCATGCAATTCAGAATGAGCAGAGATGGAATTGGAATTGTGCAGGACTTCTTGGTTTTTGTAAGAGAGTAATACTATTAAACAAATCTGGAAAAAATAATATACATTTTCAAATGAGAAAAAAAATATACTTTTGCACTAATTTTTTAACAGAGTGATTGTGTTTATTTTTATACTTCAACTGTCACCAGTGCATCTATTATGTGTTTTAGAAGAAATGGTGCTTTGTAAGAGTGCTATGTGCATGTTGAAGGAGTATTACAAATGTTGCACATCTATCAGTGTTCTGTAATGAGTTCATTTAAACTGTTTGTGTGTTGGAATTCTCTATCAATATTTTTGTGAAAAGGAGTTGTGATAAAGTCCACACATGAGTAGTGTTGTTTGTTTTTTTTAAAAATGATAGCTGCAAGATCTCCCCTGTTGTTCTGCATATGTAAATATGTTTTCTGGTATGCCAATATAGTAACTACGCTTTGCTCTGCATTGAGCATGACTGAAGATACGTCTTGAAACTACCCAGTTGTAATTTTTCATGATGTAGAATAGAGGTTACAAAACTTTTACGTGCTTTGCATTTTTCTATCTACTTCACGTATGCAGTGTGAGTGCCTGGTTTTAGTTTCATGTCCTGTTAAATACCACTAGTAGAAATGGTCTTCTGACAATAACTCGGCATTTTGAGGGTCACTTCTCATGACGATTCTCAAAAGACCGGAGTTTTGTCTTGCTAATGGTAGCTTCAAGTTTGTTAGTGAGCTATTACTGAAGAAAATGCAAATTTTTAAAACCCTTTGAAACAAATTGAATTTGGGACTAGATAAGGTTTTTATTGTAAATAAATAAAGACTTTATTTATTATAAATAAATAAAGATGCATGAAACACATGCATGAAAGAGATGGAAAGTGAAGCCTCCAGGATTGTGTTAGTCCTGCTTAAATGGGCATGTTTTTGTGGAGGCATTTCATAATACTAAATTGGCAACTAGGTAGACAAACCTAGCTGCTTCTGCTGGCTGAAAGGGTGCTCTCTGCAGGCAGTCTGCTTGCCCTGATTTAAAAGAAAAAAAAAATTAAATGTAAAACCTTATACCCTGATCATTGGAGACTCCCTGGGCTTTTTATGTGTCCGGGGTACAGAAGGGGATTGTGTTCCTCCTTGTTCCCTGCCCTTCTGATGATGCTGTGTGTTGGTGACACTCCATGTGTGATGGAGAGGAGTTGCTGAACTGAGCCTTTTCCTTGTGCACCCTGGTAACTCCTGACGATCACTGAGCCTCTTCCTCCTGCACCTTGCATTTCAGCAAAGGTAAAGTTTAGCCAGTGCTTCTGAGTGAGAACAGTAGTGCTGGAAGGGCATTTGAGTGTTGTCTTGTGTGTGGCAATGCTTTTTACATATTTGCCTTTACTCCAGGAGCTGTTAATCAATCACTAGGAGCTTTTCAAAAGAAAAGGCATGGTAGTCTTCCCTCTGATGAGTTCAGCTGTAGGGGACGTGAGGGTCACTGAGGCTGGCTATGCTTCACTGAATTAACACTACCATAGCAAGTTCATTTCTTCCATAAATAGGAAAGCTATATTCTGCTCTGGCATTGACAGTACATACTTATCCTGTGAAGAACGAAAAGGAGTGGTCCTCAGTGTAGGCTGGAGCACAGGGAAGGCATATGTGGGGCTGCACGACAGGAGCCCAGGCAGCCATGGGGCAAGTGTTGGAGCTTCATGGGCAGGATGAGGTGCTGCGGCACTGCACAGCGAGGGTGGCTGGTGAGGTGGGAACTGCGTTGCTGCTGAGAGGGTTGGCAAGCTCAGCCGAGTGCAGGTGTCTCTGTGGCAGAGGACAGGGGTGAAGGTTTGAAGGGAGCTGCTGTCAAAACAGTGATATAGGTAAGGGGTTTTCGTATCTTTGTATGAACTGGAAGGGTCTGACAGGAGTTAAGGTCAGAAATCACAGGTATGGAGGTCATGCTTTAGTCTACATCTTACTACTTGTCATTTTTAATCTGCACACCTGAAAAATGTTCAGTTTGATTTTGTTATAACACGTCCTTGCTGGCCAGATATGTCCTCTTCTGCAAGTGTTCTTCTCTGAGCTTTTTATGTCTTAGTGTAAATAGTTGGGGCCTGTTATTTCAGCAGCGTAAGTGTAGACTACATTGGTATTTATAGTTATTTTCTGACCACTTATACGCAAAAGCTGAAAAACAGAATTACTTAAGTCAGCAGAGTTTTGTTATTAGAACTCAAATTTCTTATTACTTCAGTAAATAGGTGTAAGTATTGAAATAAACATTCTCCAGTATATATCTAAAATCCCATTCATATCCCATGAGCATAATAGAGCAGCAGTCTCGTTGCTTCAATTTATCCTCATCTGGAAAGTCCTAATGCTGTTCACAAGCAGTGTAACTTTAGTCAACTGCTTGAGAGATGAGGATATTAAACAGTTACAAGCCTTGCACAGAAGATAAACTCTTGTAATTAAAAATCTTGCCTTTTTTTAAACTGTCTATGATGGTTAATGTTGAATTATGAAGTAACTTTATTTGGGAACTCCCACATCCTGTAATACACTATAGCCTGAGCACTGCTGTCATGAGTAAATGTTGCCAGAACAAATGAAAGTAAAATGTAGCCTTAGCCTGGCATTAGAACTTTTAAAAATCTTGGCTGAGACACTGAGCAGTCCTTTTCTGAGCAATAGCTAGTCCAGGAAGGCTTTTTTCTAACAGAAGCTAGTTAATCAAATCTAATTTAAAATAATGAAGACTAAAAAAATTACGTACTTTGGTTCTTAAGTAAATCTTAGTTTCCTCAGACATCTTCCTTTTTTAAAAAAATATTTTCCACACTCTTTAAGTTGGGATTTCCCCCCACCCACCCCCCCAGCTGAAAACCGTTGATTGTAAAATGGGGTTTGGAGAGAAAAAAGTTGCTAAAAAATTTTAACTACTTCTGATGTGACTGGCTTTTAAATAAAAGTTTTAATCCTGATGGTGCATAATATACAATTCCTGGTCATCTGAATGTGCCCAAAGAAACACTATACTAGGCTTATTCAGCCTTAGAATATAATTCAGATATTAAAACTGAATAGTGTATCTAGTGAACTCTGCAACTGCTGCTTGGGGCTTTTTGGTAACTGTTTGGTGAACTTGCTCTTTCACCCTTGAAGAGAATATATTTGTTTACAACAAGCTTTATTCCGTTTTTGGCACCTTATGAAGCTGATAAAACACACTTTCAGAAACAAAATGTAAGAGGATTCTTCTGGGACAGATCTTGAAAGTCTTCAATTTTCTGTCAACCGTGACTTGAACCTGTTACCTCATTTTTTCTTGTAATACATAAACTTGGAATTTCTATTACATAATGTTTTGATCAGACAATATATATGTGTGTTTGTTGCTTATTCATTAAAATTCCTATTTTTGTATTCAAACACGATTTTAATAGGGAATTTTGATGCCTTAGTGAAAATGGACTTATTTCAAATGAAGTTTATATCTTAGATATGTTGTTGTCTAGATAGTTTACCATTTAATAATGCTGCATGTAAATCCAATGCTGTACAACAAAGAAAAAACAAAAAACTTGCTGCTAGCTCATGTTCCTTCACTGAGTTTTCATTAAAAGTTGTATGCAGAAATCTGTTTAGTAAATTTTTCGCTTTGTGTGTTAAAACTATTCACTTCTACAAGCTTAAATATTCTAGTTATGTGACAGTAAAGGTACTTTGTGGATCATGCTGAACTGTTAAGTTGGCTTTAAGGAAAAGTTTTGAGTTAATAATTTTTGTGGTGTTTTGTAATTTGAGTTTATACTCAAATCCTAGTATTTGGATGTTCTTTATAGGGTTACGCATAGCTTCCTTACCCAGTAGTCCTGGGGGTGTGTATTTCTTTTTTTTTTTTTTTAAATTCTTGGTTTGAATGTTATTTAACCTTATCATAGGATAATTTCGTGTTGTGAGGAAGCTCAGGAGCTCTCTAATCCAAGCTCCTGCTCAAAGAAGGTCAGCTATGAGATCAGACCAGGCTGCTCTAATCTTTATCCAGTTGGGTTTTGAAAACCTTCTAGAATGGAGATTGATAAAGCCAGGCTTTTTAAAAAGGTTTCTCTATAACATAAAAGGCAGTAACTCTCTTCACA